AATGAGATGGCTTAATCAAAGAAGGCTAACGCTGAGCAGAGATTGGAAACGAGTGCTGCGTCAGCGCTTGGCTTCGAGTCAAGTTTGAGTCAAACGTTGACGCAATCGTTCTGACCACTCTGTGCCCTGCGCTGGCCTTCTCTGATGACGCCATCTCACTCAGCACTACGGCTTTCTAATCTCGGAGGTCATGCGCCGCGGCGCGGTGGAATGCGGGCGTGCTCAGTTGCCGCTGTGCTGTCGCCGGTTGTTGTTCACTTTGGGTTTCCGCAGTAGCGGTACGTGGGCTGTTATATCCGTGTGTAGTTAAAACGATAGGTGCGGTTCACTCCATAAGTAACATGGATGTGGTTTCTTCCACGAGTGGTATGAATGTGGCTCTTTCCAAGAGTGATATGAATGACTACATCCAAGCGCGTCGGCTCGCTCTCACAGGCAGAGTACAAAAAAAGGGGGGCGAAAAAAATTACAAGAATATCCATTGGTGGATTCTTGGGGAATCCGTTAGCGTGACCCTTGCGAAGCGCCACACAGGTCTCACTTCGGAAAACGCTAACACTAACCCCCGTAATAAGGAAAAAAAAAGAAACAGTAAAAAATTGAAAAAAAAGATAAATAAAAAAAAAGTTAAGGGCTCAGGATTTTCAAAATGGGGAGGTGTGTGGCGTTTCTAGGGGCCATGCTAACGAATTCCCGAGAAATCCATCAATGAATCTTCCTGTAATTTTTTGTCTTTATTTTTGAGACACAATTGGCTTCAGGTAATTGGGCAGAAGGTTGTGCAGTTACACATTTTGGTACGATTTATTACGTGGAGGTAACTTAATATAAGTATCTGAAAGCCCCATGCCATATTTCTGTTTCAGTCTGTAGTAAGAAAGAATAAGACGATTGCTGGGTGTTTCTCAATAAAGATGACCACGCGTGTGCACCGTCACAGAGATCCTGATCTAGTGGTTTAGTTAAAATTCGCTTTAGTTGGCTCAATTTTTTTTTATTTTCGATCATAAGACAAATTAAATTCGTTTAAACAAGACTATCGACTGTTTATTACCGATTAGGTATAACGAAAGTTGGCAGAGTAGAAATCTGAAAGACGACAAAAATAATTATAGTTTTCGGGCTTGGTAGTAGTAACTGACATATAAACGTGCAGATATTTTTTATAGGCATGCTCCTGAGCAAAAAATAGATAAAACAAATTAAACAAGAGGTCGGCCATCTGCAAAAAGAAAAGCACCATCTAGTGTACTTATAGTCAGTTATCAAATTTCCGCCATATTGGGAGGGGGGGGGGGGGGGTTTCCGTACCGATAATTTTGTCCAAGAGAAAATAGTCCCGGCAAAATGGAAGTCGTAAATATAAAATACACACTGCAAGTCCAGCACGAGCCCTTCACACAACGTCTTCAATAAAGACCGTTCACTGACCTGGATGGCCCAGTTCACTGCTTGAGTGGTGGGTTCGCGGCCGCTTTTCAAAACTAAACAGCAACCTATTGAGTGCAGAAATGCATTGTCCTAATATCTTGAAAACCGAGTTAAATGCAGAAGCGCCTCGTCAACAGCTGGAAGATGCGCCCCCCCCCCCCCCCCCCCTTTTTCCTCCCCAATATTGCGGCTCCGAATGGCATGATGGTGATAGCTAGCAAGAATATTGCATATGGCCCACTGTCTTCTTGATTTCATTTATATAAATCATTCCTGAACGTGTCGGCAAAAAATTTCGGTGTTGCAGTTTTTTTTTTTTTTTTTTTGTATAGTCGGTCAACAGAAGAGTCTTTGTTGAAAACTTGCATAGTCTTTTATAGGCCGATAGGTTTCTGAGGTGTACCTATTTACTTGAAATTAAATTAACATTTCATCGTTTTTCGACTCCTATAATTTTTTGTGGGATTAAAAAGAGCAAAAATGATATAGTAATCCGGGAAAGAAATATGTATGTCAATACCTTCAATATATCTGTTTTTATGATATCTGCACAGATACCAAAAACGTACTTTGACGTTTCTTTGCTATATCCGTCTATTCAATATAGCCAAATGTTTATCTCTATCTTCGTTATAACGAAATCTTCGCTATATCTAGTTATTCGCTTTATGTAGTTAATCTTTTTATATAATTCTTCATTATACCAGTCTCGCGCAGTGATTACATTGGATCTTCAACCCGGTTCTTGTTTGTCGTGACCCAATTGATGGCCGCTATAACTTCCTAGGGTGCCGCTGCCGTTTAAGAAAATATTCGACGCGTGGCTAAACGCAGACGACGGGGCGCACTCTTCGTAATGAGCTTTCGCTTCCGGCTCGTCCTGACGAAATGCAGCCCCGCCGCAGTCGACGTCTGGAACGTTGTTTCATGAACTCAGCTTTTTTTTTCGCACTCCCTACTCTATAATCTCTCTCCTCTCCCTTTTTTAATTCGTTATTTTGCCCAATTCAGCAATGATGTACCAGAAGCAAGGCGTCTGTTTCCCTCCTGCGGTGGAAATCAGATACCGGCGTTTGCGATTTCCCTTAATCAGATTGTGCGCCTGCTTAATGTGGTTTCCGTGGCGTATATGAGCCTCGCTCGTCGCGGCTCGGGGCGGCTGGCGCGTGGCGGTCGTGACCGTCCCAACCGCCGTGTGGCACGAGCGTTTTTCGCGGGAGTCTGGCGCTGGCGTCGCTCCTCGAATATGTGTACACAACGTCGCGACCGGAATCGCAGTGGTGCACACGGCTCGCATTAAGCAGATTGGTCTTCCGCCACTGGCGGCTGTAGCGATCGAGCTGATAGATTTTAGAACTTGTAATGTTTCTGGAGCTTGTATATGGTAAGCATATTGATGACAAGTTTCTTACATTCCTTCCCCCTCCCCTGCCAGGAGGCGGACTTAGCAATTAGGGCGGCAGAATTTTGGGGGAGGCCAATTTGTGGCCGCCCCCCAATTAATTAGCTCTTTTTTTTTAAATCCAGCTTGGAATATAGCTATTTTTGGTATTGTAGCTCAAAATCTAGCTACTTTTGAAAACTTTAAATACTAACGGCAGCGGTTTTTTTTTTTTTTTGGCGGGGTGTCATTGTAAAAGGCTGCCTAGGGCGGCAAAATGCTCTGTCCGCCTCTGCCCCTCCCCCCTTTTTTTTCCTCCAACATAATTTTCTTTTTTTTTTTTTATTGCTATTGTTTGTAGTGAAGTCCCTTTTTTTTGGAAACGGTAGGGGGCGGTGCTCCAGTCTTTGACGTCTGAGCAAACTTCCGGTTCGCAAAAAAAGGATGAACAAAGCCCGACATTACACCGCTGCTTGAAACGTCGATGAAACATTTAACCACCAATTCTTCAAGCGAAAAAAAAAACAAAAAAAAAAACAACAAGAGTGCGAGATCTTTTCAAATGTTCGAATATTTTTGTAAACCGACTTTTCTTCCCCAAGACGTTAAATCCCAGAGACCAAGGCCCATGCTAAATTTCCAACTTTGGTGTCTGCGTAGCATTTATGCCTTCAGGTACTGGTGACATAAGCAAGCTACAGGTTTGCAAAGACGGAGCGAAAGGAAGTCGCTTGGGACACAAGCAGCCATACATGTTTGTAAACTGCAAAACGGTCTATACCAGCTCTGTGGTATATTATGACGCAATGAAGCCTTTTTATATAAGGTTATCGCTGTAACTTGCAGAAACAACGACGCAGTAATTTATAGTACAGTTTGACTACGTGGTGTATTGTAGTGCATTTTACATCGAAGCTGTATATGACTCGTTTGTCAGATTTTTACTTGTGTCGGCGTCGTCACGAAAAAAAAAAACACCTTTAACGATTGAAGTGAAAAGTGCAATACACGCATACAATTACATACAGCACAACACTCATTTCAATGAAGCATTCGTTTCCATAAAAAACAAACACATAACAAGCATTCCAACTGTGTAATTGATGATTAGGCGCTCCTGATAGCAATGCGAAGCACGTAGTGCTCACCGCATACGTTTCACGGTAAAGATTTCTGTTGGGCTAGCGGCCGAGGCGACGGTAGCTTGCGGCGTGGCGAGTAAGGTCACAAACTAGCCTTACATTTATAAAAAGTTTTGATACAGTGCATTTACTTTTCTTTCGTGAATTATTTGGTATAGACCCTTTTACTGTTTACAAACATGAACTGCCTCCTGCGTCGCAAGTGACTTCCGGTCGCACCATCTTTGCAAGCCTGTCGAACTCGCTAATGTCACCACGTTCTCTGTTGTTTTTTTTTAAATACGGAACCGTTTTAGTTTCGATAAACCCTGCTGCGTGACGTTAAAAACACCGCATCATGGTGAAAACACGTTTTATAGCCGACTCCATAAAACCAGATATTGATGTTTCACGGTATAATCATTTTGTTGCGTACATTTTTAGACTGCATTAAGTTAATGAACACCAATGCGCATCTGCTGTCTCCGATGTAGATAAGAAATTGAGCCAGGGCATTGCCACCGTTAGCCTGGGGTCTTCAACGTGCATCAAGCAGTATCGACACCTTACATCACGCTGGTACGCTGCTTACTTAGCTCGAAACGAGCAAGGGTGGGAATTAAAGCCAGGGTTTCTGGGTCTTCAGCGCAAGCTCTCACTCCGCGTGCCCGAGCTGCGGTGGGCTAAGACACTAGGTCACCGATCTTCGTTATCACGGTGTAAAAATGGCTAAGATTCTAGCTTCTGCGAACTTTCAGGTTTTTGCGCTGTATTTTTTTAATTGCGATCATCTGTCGTATTGATATATTACGCGGTGTAGAAACGTTGTCGTTTCAAGTCGTGCCTACACTTTCTTTTCTAACATACTTCGTCGCCGAAAATATGAGTTTTCGGTGCCTGTGGTGAAGACTACTCTGAGAATTAAAAAAAAAATTTCTGATATTTGGGAACAATATCTACTATTATGTTTGGCACACCAATTATTTACACGTAAAAATGTGGTGTCAACAAGTGGGACGGGGCGTCGTTGTTGTGTCGTCTCATATATCGGGTGCCGGGCGGCTTACCTTTTGGGAGGTGGCCATCCTCTCCCCACTGCGTGACCCGCCCTGGCTGCAACAAGAACCAAGACAAACTTGTAACTTCCATTTCAATACCAACCCGTGTAAGCGTCGCCTACACTGCTTCGTTCGGTAGCAATTTAGTAACTAGCACGCTGAAAAGTATGGATGTTATCACAGTTTATTATAAAGTTGTCTTAAACATACACAAGGATCAACAAGCAAAACAAAAGTAAGTCCAATTGGACAATAGGCAATACAGGGCGCGACGTTTTCTGTTAGTTTCCGTTGTTGTTCGCTTTTCAGGCAGTCTTTGATTATCTGGCTTAGTGATTTGATATATGTTTGCTGTATATCTCAGAAGCACAATGCTCGATACCGTGAGCGCAAACACGATCTCGCCGCCTTTTCACACTTTGCTTCGAAAGGATACTTGTGAGGATCAAAATTTACCACTTAGTCAGGTGCCCCAAACCAGCACTCCCCCCCCCCCCCCCAACACACGCACACGCACACACAGTCGAACACACACACACACGCGCGCGCGCACACACACACACGCACACACACACACACACTCACACGCGCACGCACACACTGAAAGTAATAATCACCACTTTTCAGTAAACAAAAATCTAGAAAGAGGCGATTTTTTAAAATTGTGCTAGCAGTATTGCGCAAAGAATTCGGGCATTTGTGCGCTGCAAAAAGACTCTCAGTACCAGAAATCTGCCTTTCTCTGGTCCGTTTAGCTATTGAGAAGTGGCGAACGATATCGCGCCCATAACTGATGTGATGATTCTGCTGCAAAGAAGTCCACGTCACCAAAATAACATGACATATTAGTGTATCATACCTTCCACCTCAGTGACTGAATGAACAGCGATGAATAATCGGCCAATATTTAAGGTTACGAAATTAATGGCTGTGCGTGTACACTGAGGAACTTTTAAGAGTGTTTTACTTGCATCATCCGTTATTGCGAAACAAGCAGCAGCAACAACAAGCTTAATCTTACGAGACCATTTTGTTTTTAAGACAGCGCATCCACAAAACCTTTTATAAAATATAGTGAGCCATCAACTAAAAAAAAAAAAGGAAGATTTTGTTTGGCGGCGCCATAAAAAGGTCCTTCCCGGACACTAACCGCCACCACGCGCCCCGCATCTCGGCTCGTTCCGCTGCCGCGTCATTCGGGAGTTGCGTAGGGGACGCGGATGGTGGTGGGGAATAGTGGGGGAAAAGTCTATCCCTCCTTTCGCTGCCCCCCAGCGTTGTTGGCAAGGTTAGGCTGCGCTCGTAAAGGCGTTCTACGACCGGTCGCGTCAAGTGTTATTGCACCCGCCAGATTAGGCCGCGGCTTGTTTCTACGAGCGCGAGATTTCCCTCTCTCTTGGACTTCCCCATTCGGGAATGGAGTTCATTTGAGGGAGAGGGGGTGAAAAAAGGGTGTTGTTTCTCTTTGGGTTGTCTCGCATGTGAGTGTATTGTTTTTAAAGGAAGCTTTTATTTGAGATAAGTGTGCGGTAGTGCACGAAAGAGGCTAGAACGGATGGGTTGAGTTTAATCCAGAACGAGAACGTCAAACGAAGCAAAATATAGTAGTAATTTCATGGCAGTTGAAGCAAATAAAGGCGTAATTAGGGTTATGGTTTCGACTGGACTCAGACACACAAAGTAGATTTCCACGAGCGTGTTGACCTACTTCCCAAAAATCTGACAGTTAAATACAAAGAACATGAAAGCTAAACACACGTCCATCCTCGTTCCTCCACCCTGATAAACTTCAATGTTCTCAGACACGCATCTCATAATAGAGTAAAACATTTATACTTATTAGCCTCTACTATTCACTTTCTTTGCGAGTCAGCGCAGTGTCAGAGGAGTCTACTTAAAGATCCTTTGAATTTAAATAAACCAATACACAATAACCATAAAAAAAAAACGAGGCTGAGTTCTTACAGTAGGTAACCGCAGACTATGTCGAAATAAGGTGGCACTGCTTGTCTTTTGTGTGGAGGATATATTCCGCTGATTAACTTGCGAATAACCTTACAGCGCGTGACTAAGTACAGTATTCTGTCGGATTTTCGTTTGTTTGAGTGACCTTCCGTCGCAGGGGGGGGGGAGGCCGCATTGCTTCTCTTTTCCTAGCCATAAGACACTCTCCCTCGTTTTGCGTTTTTTTTTTTGTTACTTCAAGCACGGTCATACCGAGCTCGTCGCCGCTTTTGTTCAGCCATCGCCTCTTCAGTCCGCTCTTTCCTCTTGCGAGGCATTGCGAAGTATGCGGACGGCACATCCAGAGAGCGCCTCGTCCCACGACCGTCGCACGTGCGCGATAAGTAGAAGAGAACGGCACGTGTAGTTTACTCTACCGCGCATGCGTTTTGACGTGACAAGTTCAAATTTTAAGAGGAGGAGGGGAGAAGGAGAAAGAGAGAGAGGAATAGAGAGGGAACCGTCCTGGGAAGACGCTGTTACCGGATTTAAAAACCATCTCTGTACGAAGTTGGCTTTTCCTCCAAGAGGGTGCCGCTGTGGAGAAGCCACCCTTCCGCATACAATGCTTTTCGCATTCACGAGTCATGAACACTCTCTATTTTCTCTCTCTCTCTCTCTCAGCCTATCATGAATACGCCCCGCACGTAATAGAAGAGCTAAAAAGATTTTTTTGTGTGTTTTGGTAGCATGCTTGTTTTTACAAACATTCATTTCAAAACTATCATCTCACCAGTTCTAACCGATACACAGATGAACTCGGCACGTCCTATCATAATTAACGCCGCTACAAAAAAAAAAAAAAAAAAAAAAAAACGAAGTATCGTGATTTTATCTGTTTGTTTCTCTAGATCCTCCCTTCTCTCCTCCCACATCAGAAATAGCGGCCAGTTCGTTCACGTCGCGGCCAGCGGCCGCTAATTCCCGTCTACGGGGCGACGTACACCTTGTTAGTCGGGATTAGCCGCCCAGCCTCAACAAGAGACAAAAACAAATGTATATATAAAAAGTCAAAGGGGACGGAAGACGGTCGTTCAGGAGAAGCGTCTATGTTTCCCGCGCGCTGCGGGAACCCCGGCTAATTGGTATCTCTTGCCTCGTTCTAGTCAAGAAGCAAAGCCAACCTTCCCCATTCCTTTGGGAGAAGAAGGGGGCTACCTCCGCGTGTGTGCTTGTCTGACCGACCGAACCGGGGCGCAAATCCATTCACGGGGCCTGCCCGTGTGTGTTCCATCCGGATAGCCGTTGGAGGAAAGAAGCTTCATTAGCCTTCCCCCGAACGGCGCGATCCTCTGAAGATTCCCAGGCGCTCGTTTTCGGGAGAGCTAGGGATGGAGAATAGAGGTGCTCTGCGGCGAGGGGCCGCGTTGCGAAGGCGCGGGTTTCTTAACGCCGTAGTGGCGACGAGGACTGAGTGGATTTATTTTCAGGAGCTTCGTTTGGGGTCGATTATGTGTGTGGAGTCTTAAGGATTTGCCTCCCAAAGGTAGTCTCCTACCTTAAGGTGTAGTTTTAATGTCTCGTGAATCCAGAACGGGGTCTCTTCCAGAATGTTTTACAACGCCACGCATGTAATACCATTGCATTCATCGGTGTTTTAAACCAAAAATATATTACGAAAATTACTCAGAACAGTGACTTTGTTTTCCCATGATTCAAATTGCAAGCACTTATAAAACAAACACCACAAAGCCCGTCTAGAGCCAGTCGGAGTCCCATTACTGGGATAGTATTATTTACGCAAATGGTGGAATTTTGTTGGTGTACTGGTTAACGATTTATGACTGATTTTGATATGCCCTCCGGCTTAAAAAAATGACATTAATGTCTTGTTTTTTGGTAGTATTTTAGACGAAATTAACTCTAGCACGTCGAAATCAATAAGACAGTAAACTCCCAATTATAAGAGAGGAGGCAGTAATTTTAGCAAACTGTGTCTTCGTAGAAGAGTGCCCGTAGTAGAAGTTCGGGCTGAAATTTCGAATCAGGCTTTTAAGCACGCGTCGAACGGTACCGGGGCCGCGAAAGCAAATTGCGAAAACTCCCTAATTTCAATCTACCACTTAACTAAAAAAAAAAAGCGTTGTACTTTGATATGTTTAATTATATGCGGTTTCGTCTTACGTAGACATTGGCATGCCTTTGATATAAATGAATAAATGTAGGGTTGCCATAGCTCAGAACCAAATTTAGACCTTTCCAACGACCTAACCCTGTCAGAATACGAAAGTAGTTATTAGCCTGGCTGTCAAACGGCATCGCACGAAGTGCATAATTTTTGGCGAGGCCAGCAAAAAAACAAAAACAAGCGCGAAACCGAAAGCTGAGATGCAAATATCCAACGCTGCGGTCGAAAAAAAAAAAAAAAAAGCCGGCACCACTACATTACCGTTGTCGATTCAGCCAGTGTCTCCCAATCGATTTCAGTTCGTGTCTTCTATTCTGGGATCGGGTGCACATTTATTGCCACGCACGCCGCCCAACTAGGTTCTTTCCCCTATACCCCTCTCCCTATACCTTCTCTTTTACGCGCTGAGCCCGTGCGTGCAAAGGCAGGGCGGTGCGCTTTATGCGCACGCGCACGATCCGTGTCTCGGGCAAAAGGGGGGGATGGAATTGAATCGCTACGTCGAGCTGACGCGCTCGCGACGGACGCCGCAGACGTGGGAATCCTTGCACCTGCTCCTCAATTTCCCCCTTTCCCGCTCCCACATGCACAGCGCTCAACCTTCTTCCCTGCTCTCGCACTTCCCCTTTCCCCATTTTCTCCTCTCACTTTTCCTGACTCCTCTCTCCTTCCCTGCCGTATGCTTTTGTGTTTTATCTCATTTTCCCTATCCTCTTCGGCCCCTTCCCGCTAGCCTTTCCCTAAATCTTTCTTCCCCCGTCGTCTGCTTTTTGTGTGTCTGCTACCTTGCGTTGCGAATGCGGTTCCTGGGTTCCTCGCGTAGCCTTGGAAGGCGAGCACTTCTCTTTCACAGCTGCCGCTGCCTGCCGGCTCATTCTAAATTCATGAGCCAATTTGTAGATCGATGAGCTGCCCTCGCCCAC